ACTGTCGCCTGGCGCCCAGCACAAAAGAACCAAGTGGGGCGAGAAAAAACTAGTGCTCGGTAACCTAGTTGGCGGAGACTTCCACGTCCGCAGTGCGGGGTGAGAAGTGCACATGGCGACCTTTCTGTCCCGTTGGCGGCGGCGATGCCTCCATGCCGAAATTTCGCTGGAGCTCCATGGGCCCGCTACGACTAGAAGCGGAGAAAGAAGTCGCACGCGAGTGAGAAGGGGGAGGGGTGAGCGAGCGATTGCGACTCCCGCCACTGTACTGGTTACTAGTAGAGGGTCGCGGCTGCTGTCGCTTGGGCTGCCCAACAGCCAAGAGAAGCGAATTTCGCTCCGCCTGAACAGCTTGAAGCTCTCGCTGGGCCTCTTGAAGAGCGTTCGCGAGTTTCGCGGCTTCCTGCTTTTGGATTTCGGTAGCTGCAGCAGATGATTCGGCACTGGAAGGGGAGATTCGGGGGCTGTCTGCCGCCCAGCTTGCAAGTGCAGCTTCCATTTCGTCGGCTAGCGAATCTCTTTCCATCTCAGCCTGCTGCAGTGCAGATTTCGTCCGCCCAAGCTCGTCTTCCCGCACAGAAACTTTCCCCGACAGTTCCGCGTTTTGCGTCTCCGACCGCTGAAGCGCACTCTCCGTCGCCGCGAGCTTGCGCGTAAGATCCCCCAAAGCGCGCTCCATCTCCAAAATATGATTTCCCACCGCAATGTCCCCCTCGCTTCCGCCACGCCGCTGGACGGGGGAGCGTTTGTTCGCCTGCGCGCGGAGGGAATCGATCTCCCGCTCCATCGCTGCGCCTGCCGCCTGCATGCCCTCCAGCTGGCGTTCCAAATCCGCTACGTGATCCCATGCACTGCGAAGCTCCTCCTCTAGCAATTTCCGCTCGCCCTCCGACGCTCCCAGAAGCTGGTCCTTAGCGCAAATCTCCGCCTTGAGCGCGTCGACGAGCGACTCGAGCTCGCGCTGCTGCGACGCCTCGAAAACTTCGGCCTCCCGTTGTTGCTCGAGCTGCTCCTGCTGTTCCCGCGGGTCCCGCGAAGTAGAGGAAACGGCGCGGACCGCTTTGGCAAATGAGTCTGACCGCGCAAAGGAAACCGCTGCGGGGCGGCCAACGCTGGCACTACCCGACGCCGGAATACCCGCAGCAGCACCATTCGCTCCCGCCAACCGCGCTTCGTCGGCCGGCTCCACATGGGTGACCCGATCGCAGAACGAACGGGAGCGTTCGCGAGACACTGAAGGGTGCGACAACCTGCGGCTACCACTGGGTGTTGCCGCTACCGAGGTTTCTCGCATTGAGACGAAGGGGGAGGACTCGAGCATGTCTCCAACGCGGCTCGGCCGGCGCGCGTGGTGATGATTCTGCGATATTGACGCCGAGCGTTGATGTGACTGTAACGCAGGGTTCAACTCGAACGAGCCGGAGTGACTTGAACCAGTACCGCGGCCCGTGGCGCTTGAGTTCTGGTCGTTGGGAGTATTCGGGAAAACACCAGCGAAGCTCTGATGATGGTGACGCTGCGTAACAGGGGCTTGCGCGGGTGATGCGGAGACAGGCGACTCGTGAAAGGAAGGCTGGCGAGCAAACTCTTTATTTTGAGACTTTTGGCGAGTGATCTGCTTGCGGCCCTTTGCGCCAGTTGCGGCGTTTGCGTCGCTCGGGCCCTTCCGGTTCCGCCTGGCGGCCTCCGCGGCGCGGAGATACTCCATTTCAACGGGCTCCTCCACGAATTGCTCCATTATCGCGAAAAATTCGTCCATTGGGTCGTCCTGCGACGGCTTTTCGCACGCGGTGCTGCTGTTGCTGTCGATGCTGCTGGCGGATTCGAGGGACATGGCAATTGCTGCTTGTCGTTCGCACACGACGCTGGAGGCGCGGAAGATGCTGCTGGCGGAAGGCCTGGCGGCGCGCGGCTTCCGCGCGACGACGGCGTGTTGCGCGGACCTGTTGCTCCGCGAGCCTTGCGCAGCTTCCGTTGCGGATGCAGGCTTACTGGGACCTGCGGAGGATTCCCCGGGTGAATGATCCGCGGGTGCTGGCGCGCACGTGACCGAAGATAAGCGGGAGCTACCAACGGGAGGTCTAGTAACGCGCTTGACATTAGCGGGGATGTCGATGTCGGGAACCAGCGCCTTGCCTTTTGCTGCGGCATTGAAGGCAGCATTCGCGGCGGCTGCGGCGGCGAGGGTTTTGGGATTCGATTCGACGTCGCCGCCGACGAGAAGTCGGACGGCGAGGCGTCTCCCGAGGTTGGGCTTGCCGGCTTCGGGAACACGTGGATCGCGGGGAGCGTTGCTTGAAGAGCCTGGAGGAGCCATGGATGACGTTATCTTGGAGTAAAGCTCATCCATTTCAAATTTCGCTGCTACTAGGTCCGCCTCCATAGCGAAATCGGGAGCGGCTCTGGTGCAACGATGTTGAAGCTAAAATTTCTCCTACACAAAAGAAGAACAAAGCTTCCTTGTTTTGCGTTGTGTCGTGTGATATGTACGGGCCGATTAGAACGGAGGACAGGATGTGTGGATAGAGATTATAGGGCCACGGTTGGGGTGGGCTGCGGACCAAGGTTAGAGCAAATATCGGCACTGAAAGCGGGACTCGTACATGTTCCGTATCCCATGAGGGGCCAAGGGAACATTTCGTGTAGACTGATATTTCGTTGGGTTACGACAGCTGTGTTGAGGAGAGGGAAGGGGTAAGCATGAGGAGGAGGCGAGTTGCAATTGGGTACAGTTCTCGCTGGAAGGCAGACAGACACGCGTAAAGAAAAACAGCAGCAGCAAGCTGTAGATCGGTGATTAGATTTTCTTCCCCGTTTAGTTCGTTTGTTTTTGTGCTGGCATTCCGCTCCGAAAGCCTCGTGTTTGTCTGTATGTGGGTGGGCCCAATCTTCCTGGGAATTTGGGGAAATAGCGGGGAGTGAAGCGAGGAGGAGGCAGGAGAATGAGAGGTTGGAGGGAAAGGGGAATGTACAGCTGAATGGGTGGTCCTTTCCACCTTGCCACACCATTCCAACCATGCCACACAGTGGATGGCTAGATCTTTTACGCGTTGCTGGCCTTTTCGGGCAAAAACAGCGTGAATTCGACTCAACGAGGACCTTTGGGACCTTGTCTTTCCTGGGAAAAACCGCGTTACTCTTTGTTTGGGACATTGTCTTTCCTGGCATGCAACACCTTGTGGAGATTCTTGTCTTGTCTTGTTGTGTCACCAGCGCAATATACCACAAGTCCAGACGAGTCCCACCCATCCCAACGAGGTGGGGTGCGAGAAAATATTGGAAACCCTGAACCAAGGTTATATTGTGTGTACACTTCCACCAGCCTGCACTCATGAGAAATTCCCCAAAAGTAAGAGGGTGTCTCAAATCCCTCGGTCCACCCTGGCTCTATCCGGTCGATGGGGACCAGTCCACCAAACCACTTCGGACCCAAGCGTGGACCCACTCCCTGAGCGAATGTGGACCGAGGGTGTCGCAAACCAGCACCCTCGTTTTAACGGGCGAAAGTGACTATAATGGGGAGGATCCCCAAGTTCGACGAGCCGGTCCACGTCGGACCCCTGATCAGTCATAGTATTGGCGAACACTCACAAACTCACCTCGCTCCGTCGCAAAACTTGGCAGCATGCGCAAATGTACTGTAAGTCTTGCGTCCTGGTAACCCAGTTTTTCTAGAAAATATACAGCTACGCTCGCCAACACGCTTCTGTAGATTGCATCTGCGGACCCAGCAACAATGAGTTCGAAGCTGGTTCGCTCGGTTGGTCCACACAGGTCCGTCGGACCAGTCCTGGGTATTTCTGGTTGCATAATTTCAGTGGCGGACCAGTCCGGGGCGGACTCGCGCATCTGTCTAAGTGAGACACGTCCTAAACCACGTGAAAGGATGTGAATCCGTTATTATGTTTTTAAGAAGTGTTGCGACACAACAAAATTGGGTTGGGTCTGGTCGACCCAGTCGTCCTGACAATCGCGGCTCGGAACCACGAAGAATTTCAAAGAAATTTTTGCACACGCAATTGTCATTCAGCTTTCCTGCGGGTTAGGCGAGCTGTGACGAGAGTCAACAAACCGCTAGACCAATGGTTACGTGGAAACCTTATCTCGGCTGAATTTGCAATTCGTATGCGACTGCAAAACGCGAGATCCGCGAGATCTTTAAATTTGGTAGCTCAAGTAACTTTTCGCAAGGCGATTTAGTTGGGTTGGGTTGACCTGGTCGAGCAACCTGGTCAATCCCGTCGGGCAGACCCAAACCGAATCGGTTGGTTCGAGCTGGTCGGCTATTTCCGCAACACAGCCTTCCTCGAAATGAGGGATCGGTGGTGGTTGACCCGACCTCTTTGGGTCGCAACACGTCGTTAGGTTTTTTATTATGGATGGACACCACCCTGTAGAAACGGGCAGCATCAAGGTGTGCATCATTTCAAGATTCTCGCACTGTACAACTGGTGACATCCTGAAGCTTGAGTATCCAGCAAATGTTTTTGTATTTCCAACTGCAACTGTTCACGGTGGAATTGCAACGGATGTTGCTGATTTTCGGGGTGGAAGCTTTTGTCCGTTTATGTCATTGCGCTGCATGGAAGGTCCTTTCCAGTCTGGTGTCCTGCACAAACTTAGGCGAAGAAATTTGAGTTGTGAGGAAAAGACGCTCCATGTTCGAAAAGCCCCCATTTCCTGCCCTACCCAGCCCGAAACCCAAACGATGCTCCTTGCTTTGCCAAGCTGTCTCGCCCACAAGCTGAATTGGCAACGAAAATTCACTGAAGTGCGTGCCTTTTGACCGATTCGATAGGGCACAGATTGTCAACGTGACAATTATGCAAATTCTGTCTAGTGTACCAATGTAAACGTAAGTAGACACATCAACATGCACTCCCGGAATCATTGCAGGTGATCTGGTCACCGACCTCACACAACTACCAAGAACATCAATTTAACATAGTAATGCCAGCCCTTCCCCCATACCACCCAGTGAAACAGACTACATCAAACAATCACCTCATTACACCTCGCAAGTTAACCAACTCCCCTCGTAAATCACCCCCGGATAATCTCTCCACCAGCGGAAGCACATTCGCACCCCATTCATCCGCCCATTTACCAGCAGCTCCTGTTGCAAGTGCACCAGACCTCAGCTTCTGAAGAAGAGTAACGGAAGAAGGAGCAGATGAGGGAGATGAGGGAGAGGAGGGCGATGTGGTAGACGAAGGTAAGGGGGAGGTTGATGGACCTGAGGGGGTGAAGGCTGAGGTGTAGGTGGTGGCAGTGGTGGGCGAGTGGGGCTTGAGAGTGGAAGAACCTTCTGGGAAGCCGCAGAAGATGTCGATGAGTTGAGAGGCGAGCTCTGACGAATCGGAGAAGAGGAGACCGTTGATGCCGTCCTTGACTAGCTCATGGATGCTGCGGGGTGAAAAGCAAAAACAAAACAAAAATGTGGGGGGATGGGGGTGAAGGGTGGAAGAAAAGAGTGGGCGAATGAATCAGAGAAGAGGAGGCTGTTGGTGCCGTCCTTAACTAGCTCGTGGATGCTCATTGGACGTAGCAAGGGGGGGGGGGAGGGGGGATGGATGGAGGGACAAAGAGGATGGGGGAGATGAGCTCTGAAGAGTCTGAGAAGAGGAGGCCGTTGGTGCCGTCCTTTACTAGCTCGTGGATGCTGATTGGATGGAAGAAAGGCGGATTGTTCATGGGGGGACAGAGCGGAGGGGGGAGGGGAGAGGAGCGGAGGTGGGACGTGAAATGTGCGGAGGAAATGGCTGCTGGTGCCATTATTCACTAACTCGTGAATGATGATTGGGAGGAGAAGGGAGAGAGCGGATAGAGTATGGTTAATGGATGGGAAGAAGTAGCACGAGAGATTGTTGGTGCCGGGGACTTTTTCTTTCAAGGTTTTTTCAAGTGCTCATGAACTACTTTTGAAGCACTTCAAATCTTTGTTCTCACTAGCTCAAATACTTTTTTTTTTTTTTTTCAGTAGCTCATGAGTACTGATCGCGAAAACGATACAAGGACTCACCAGGAATAGGAGATGGCACACACGGGAAGGCCGCACCCAAACATATCCACCACTTTCATTGGCAGATCCAAGCCTGAGGACGAGGTATGGAGAGACACGCCCAGGTCCGCCGAGCCCAGCAGCCTCGGGTAGTCCTCCGGGGCGAGCCATGCGGTTCGGAAGGACACGTGGCGCAATCTGAGCCGTCGCATCTTTGATTCGTAGTGCGATCGGAGGGCTCCCTTGCCTAGGGATGGGACGAGAGGGAACAGAAAACGGAGGAGGGAGAGGCGAGACAGGAAGAGAGAACAGTGGGGGAGAAGATAGCAGAGAGAGGGAAGAGCGACAGGAGAGCGTGGAAGCAGGCAGACAGACAGACAGACAGACAGACAGACAGACAGACAGACACAAACAAACTATATATATGAATGTATGAATATATATAGAGAAAGAGACTCAGCAATGGCATATCGTGGTTGAGATTACATAAGAAGAAACCAAGCTGTAAAAATGTAAACTTTTCACCACAAATGTGTGTCCTTACCAGTAACAATAAACGCCAGGTTAGGAAACTTGGCTCCTGCCTTCAACCTCCCTCCACTTGCTCCTACTCCTGCTGCTGTCGTTGCCACCCCTCCCTGCTCGTCCTCTCCTGCTGCGCCGTTTCTTGAGCCCCCCCCACTAGCAGAATCTTTGGCAGCACTTGCTGACCCTGTTGCTGTTGCTGTTGCTGTTGCTGCTCCTGCTTCTGCTCCTGCTGCTACTCCTGCCACTGTCACTGCTGAACTCCCATCAGTTCCTCTGGAATCAAGTAGAGGGGCTCCAGCACCCCCTTCCTCCCCTCCTCCCTCTCCTCCAAACTCCCCTTCCCCTGCCATCGCTGCCACACGCCTGTCATACATGAGAGCTGCCTCTAGCAGCACGTCGAAATCCTCGTCTGCCGTCCTGGTGGGTGCAGAGTGATTGGAAGGAGTGGAAAGGTTGTAAGAAGGCCCTCCCCCTCCCCTGCCATTGCTGCCACACGCCTGTCATACATGAGAGCAGCCTCTAGCAACACATCAAAGTCCTCGTCCGCAGTCCTGCAGTGTTTGAGGAGGTGGGGAAGGGTTGGAAGGAATAGAAAGGTTGTAAAAACGCTTTTCCTCCTTAACCACCCCCTGCCCTCGCCTGCCATCGCTGCCACACGCCTGTCATACATGAGAGCAGCCTCTAGCAGCACATCGAAGTCCTCGTCCGCAGTCCCTAAACCCGAAACTGTTAGCCCAAACAGTTGACGCACCAGCTGGAGCTGTTGCGACAAGGCTGGTGCAGGTTGCAGGCTGGTGCAGGTTGCAGGCTGGTGCATGTTGCAGGCTGGTGCATGTTGCAGGCTGGTGCATGTTGCGACAATGGATGGCGCAGGTTGCGATGGAAACAAAGAGCAACAGATGCAAGCACAGGCGAACAGGCAGAGACGCAGGCAAACAAGCAAACAGGCAAACAGGCAACGCACCAGCTGGAGCTGCTGGCCACAAGGGCAAGTGCAGGTGCAAGTTTAGATGATGAACGAACAAGAGGAGGTCCCAGCGAACAAGCACAGGCAAACATTCATACAGGCAAACAGGTAGACAGGCAACGCACCAGCTGGAGCTGCTGACAACAATGGCAGGGCGGTCCGGTCTGAGAGTCCACTGCGTGGTTCCTGATGCGGTGGAAAGCGGTGAGATGTGGTGGGACGAGGTGTGATGCGATGAGAGCCATGGGATGCGAGAATAGTAGGGAAGGGGAGCGGGGTGTGTGTCATGGCAGGTGGTTGAGTTGAGATGCGTCAGAAGGCAGTACGGCAAATGGCTAAAAGTAAGGTACTGAAATGAAAGAGACAGAATCAAAAGAGACAATATTGAAAGTGACAGGATTGAAAGTGACAGAATTGAGAGTGACAGTTGACAGAATTGAAAGTGACAGAATTGAAAGTGACAGAATTGAAAGTGACAAGCTTGAAAGTGACAGAATTGAGAGACACACGTGGTGTACCTGGTGCAGGTGGCGCGAAACAGCTGTCGAGCAGTGATTGGTCGATGCGGCCCAGTACCTGTTAGGGGAAGGATTGTGGGGGAAGCAGAGTGGGGCGAGGAATGTGGACAAACAACCACCACCACTGACATTATAAATAAGTTAGCTCATCAATAAACTAGGGTGTGAGTTGGTCAAACAAGCACCACCACCCACACCTTATCCCCTCCCCACCCACCCCCCTCCTCCATCCCCTAACCTTGCAATACTCTCATCTCTCATACGCACCTCTCTCATCTCATCTCATCTCATCTCATCTCATCTCTCATACGCACCTCTCTCATCTCCTCAAGGGAGCTGGGTCGGAAGAAGGCAGGAGGGCGGTCGTACAAGACAGTGGCTCTGAGGAGAGATGTACAGAAGAGCAGGGAAGAACGCAGAGAATACAAGCATGAATGAAGAACAGAATACACAACATGACATTCATTTTTCCGTATCGACACCGCCCTGAACCTTTCTACACCCCTCTGCACACATTTGAACTGATCTTCACCGCTCCCCACCGCTTCGTATATCCCAGTTGTTCGCCCGCTCCTGCTGCATGCCTCCAGTCACGCACCACACGTGCGCTACCGCATAGCACAGATCGTGGGTTCCCCTTCATCCCTCTGTACCCCTCTCTTCCCTTCTATACGCATCTTCCCCCCTTCACCGCTCCCCACCTCACCGTATATCCCAGTTGTTCGCCATCTCCTGCTGCATGGCTTGGGTCACACAGATGTGCATCCCTGCACAGCATGAGTAAAAGGCTCCTGTTCATCCCTCCTCATCCCTCTGTACCCCTACACACATTTATACACCTCTTCACCGCTCCCCACCTCACCGTATATCCCAGTTGTTTGCCAACTCCTGCTGCATGGCTCGAGTCACACAGATGTGTGCTGCTGCCTGCCGACCGATGGTGGTCTCATACCTAAAATGATCAGAAAGGGGCAGATGAAGGGGCGGCAGGGGGCAGGGGGGCAGTTGCAGGAATGTATACTACACATGGTGTATGCTCTGTGCGTGGTCCTGCTGCATGGTTCGAGTCACACATATGTGCGCCGCTGCCTGGCGTGCTATGGTGGTCTCGTACATGGGAGGGAGGTATAGGGAACGGGGGGCGAATGCAAACGGGGCAGATGCAAAGGGCCGGATGAAGGTATGTGTGTGGTGTGTGTGGTGTGTGTGGTGTGCATGGTGTGCATGGTGTGCATGGTGTGCATGGTGTGCATGGTTCGAGTGACACATATGTGCGCCGCTGCCTGGCGACCTACGGTGGTCTCGTACCTGGTGTGGGAGAAATCAAAGGAAGCAGGTGCAAATGGGGCAGGTGCAAATGGGGCATACGGCAAGGGGCACAGAACAAGGGGCAGGGGGCAGGGGGCAGGGGGTGTGCGGGGCCAAAGCGGAGGCCAAAGCGGAGGCCAAAGCGGAGGCCAAAGCGGAGGCCAAAGCGGAGGCCAAAGCGGAGGCCAAAGCGGAGGCCAAAGCGGAGGCCAAAGCGGAGGCCAAAGCGGAGGCCAAAGCGGAGGCCAAAGCGGAGGCCAAAGCGGAGGCCAAAGCGGAGGCCAAAGCGGAGGCCAAAGCGGAGGCCAAAGCGGAGGCCAAAGCGGAGGCCAAAGCGGAGGCCAAAGCGGAGGCCAAAGCGGAGGCCAAAGCGGAGGCCAAAGCGGAGGCCAAAGCGGAGGCCAAAGCGGAGGCCAAAGCGGAGGCCAAAGCGGAGGCCAAAGCGGAGGCCAAAGCGGAGGCCAAAGCGGAGGCCAAAGCGGAGGCCAAAGCGGAGGCCAAAGCGGAGGCCAAAGCGGAGGCCAAAGCGGAGGCCAAAGCGGAGGCCAAAGCGGAGGCCAAAGCGGAGGCCAAAGCGGAGGCCAAAGCGGAGGCCAAAGCGGAGGCCAAAGCGGAGGCCAAAGCGGAGGCCATAGCGGAGGCCAAAGCGGAGGCCAAAGCGGAGGCCAAAGCGGAGGCCAAAGCGGAGGCCAAAGCGGAGGCCAAAGCGGAGGCCAAAGCGGAGGCCAAAGCGGAGGCCAAAGCGGAGGCCAAAGCGGAGGCCAAAGCGGAGGCCATAGCGGAGGCCAAAGAGAGTGAAGCCGAAGTTGTGCCTCTTGAGACACACAGTGACAGCACCCACCCACCTCCCCTTTCCACACAAACCATCCCCCCTTCCCTCCCTTCCTCTCCCCCCCCCCCCGCCCCACCACAAACAAACACACACAAGTGCACCATTTGTGAATCTTCACGACTGGGTGTGCGGGGCCGAAGCGGGAGAGCGAATCCGAAATTGTGTTTCTTGGGACTTGGGGTGACAATACCCACCCTCCCCTCCCCCCACAAACCACCCCACCCACCCCTCCATCCCTCTCCCCCTACACACGAACGCATACAAACGCACCACTTGTGGATCCTCACGAGGGGATGTGCGGGGCCGAAGCGGAGGCCAAAGAGGGTGAAGCAGAAGCTGCGCTTTTCAAGACTTGAAATGATACTACCCACCCACCCTCCCCTTCCCTCACAGCCCCCCCTCTCCCCCTCCCCTTCCCAACCCACAAAAACCCACAGAAACGCACCACTTGTGGATCTTCACGAGTGGGTGAGCGGGGCCGAAGCGGAGGCCAAAGAGAGTGAAGCCGAAGTTGTGCCAGTCGATGACGAACGAGGCTCGGCGCACCAGGCCCGCGAAACGGACCACTGTGAAGGTGGGAATGGTGGGCGGGTTCTGAGGGGGGTATGGGGGGGGAGGAGGGGAGGAGGAGGGGGGGAGGAGAGGGGGAGGAAGGGGCAGGGGAGGGGGAGAAGTGGGGAGAGAGGGGGAACGAGGGGAGAGAAGGGATTTGGGACGTCTGAGAATGTGTGAAGCCGAAGTTGTGCCAGTCGATGACGAACGAGGCTCGGCGCACGAGCCCAGCGAAGCGAACCACTGTGAAGGTGGGAATAGTGGGAGGGTTCTGAGGGGGAGTGGATGGGTGGAGTGCGGTTGTGGGACAGGAGGGGAGGAGGGGGGAAAGGAGGCAAAGGGGGGGGTTTTGATGACCCAAAGAGAGTGAATCCGAAGTTGCCAGACCAGCGAAACGCACCACTGTGAATGTGGGGATGGTGGGAGGGTTTTGGGGGGAAAAGGGGAGGAAGGGGGAAGGGGGGAAGGGGGGAAGGGGCGATGGGGAGAGGGAGTGGGTTAGGGGGGTGGATGCCAGGGGAGAGGGGAGGGGTAAAAGAAGGGGAAAAGAGGGAAAAAGAGGGAAGAAGATGGAAAAAGAGGGGAAAAGAGGGAAAAAGAGGAAAGAAGAGGGAAGAAGAGGGAAAAAGAGGGAAAAAGAGGGAAGAAGAGGGAAGAAGAGGGAAAAAGAGGGAAAAAGAGGGAAAAAGAGGGAAAAAGAGGGAAAAAGAGGGGTCTGAAACGTTCCAAAGAGGTTGAAACCGAAGTTGTGCCAGTCAAAGACTAAGGAGGCCTGGTGCACGAGCCCAGCGAAGCGAATGACTGTGAATGTCGGATGGGGGGGGGTTCTGAGGGGGTTAGGTTGGGGGGTGGTGACAGGAGGGGAGGAAGGGGGAAAAGAGGTGGGTGGAGGGGGAGGGGAGAAGAGGGGGTTGCGACGTCCTGAAGTGTGTGAAGCCAAAGTTGTGCCAATCAATCACGATAGTTGAATTTTACTTTTGAGAATTCTCAAAAGTAAAATTCACGGGATTGGGATGTCCTGGAGTGTCTGAAGCCGAAGTTGTTCCAATCAATCACGAAAGAGGCTCGCCGCACTAGCCCTGCGAAACAAACCACTGTGAAGGTGGCAAGGGTGGGGGGGTTCCGGGTGGGGGGAGAGGATACGTGGGGAAGTGGTGAGTCGCACTAGCCCTGCGACACGGACCCCTGTGAAGGTGGGGGTGGTAGGGGAAGGGGAGAGAAGGAGTGGAAGAAAAATCCTAGGGGACGGGAGTCGGGGGGAGGGGGGAGAGCGGGAGAAGGGGAGCGGGGAAGAAGGGGGCTTGAGACGAGACAAGACGACTAAACCCTCACCTGGAGAAGGTAAAAGTCGGGGGGGGGGGGGGGTGTCGCGACGCAGAGCACTTGGGGCTATGAGTTTCATGGACAGCAGCAGAGGGAAAGGGACACAAAGTGTAGAGGGACACAGTGTAGTGTAGAGGGAAAGGAGGAGAGAAAGAGAGGCAGTACGACACGCAGTGCAAGCAAGGGAGTGTTTCCCTCACCTGTAAAAGGTAGAAGTCGGGAGGAGGGGTGGCGATGCAGAGCACCCAGAGGAAGCAGAGCACTTGGGCTATGAGCTTGATGGGCAGCAGCAGCAGGTACAGCGGGCGCGAGAGGCCGCTGGGGAAGGGCATGCCCTGAGGGGATGGGGGAAGAATACGGGGGAGAGAATGGGGAGAGGGGAGGGGAGAGGCGGGGGGGAGAGGAATGGGGAGAAAAAAGGGGAGAGAAGGGGGGACAGGGGAGGGGAGAGGCGGGGGGAAGAGAAGGGGGGAGCGAGAGGAAGCAGGGCACTTGGGTGATGAGCTTTATGGGCAGCACCAGAGTATGTTCTTTGAGAATTCTAAAAAAAGCGAGAGGAAGCAGGGCGCATGCGCGATGAGCTTTACGGGCAGCAGCAGAAAAACCAAGGGCTCTTGTGAGAATTCTCTTGTAAGCGGGTTTTTGAGAATTCTCAACAACCGCTCTTGAGTGAAGCAAGTGATTACTGCTTGAGGGGCCAGTGCAGCAGGTAAAGCGGTCGCGATAGCGTGCCGGGGGAAGGGGCGGGCTCTGGGAAGGGGGGAGGGGAAGACGGTGGGGGGACACAGAGAAACACCCTCCTTCCACCACCCTAAACCCTGAACTCAGTCCCCACTGTCTCTCTCCCCCACACCCCATCGACCCCCCTTTCCCTACCCCCCTTCCCCCACCCTCTCCCCCCCTCCCTCCCTCCCCCCCTTTTTCCCCCCACTCTCACCAGCAGGCGCAGGTGAATGCGCGGATGCTCCGCCACCGAGGGATGCACCTGTGACCCTGCGGAACGGGGTTTAGGGTTTTAGATTGGGGGAACGGGGGTGGGAGGGACGGGGGGGAGGAAGAGAGAGCGGAAAGCGGGAGGGAATTGAGGGTTGGGGTAAAGTAGAGGGGTGGTGGGGGGTGAGGAAGAGGGGTTCGGAGCAAGGGGGGATGTCAAAAACGAATGAGCGAGTAAGGGCGGGAAGAGAGAAGGATGATGATTGAAGGATAAGGAGTAAGGAGAAATGAGTTTCGAATCGACTCAAAAGTCACCTAAGGAATAACAGTGGAAATCTCGGCCAAGAGCAGCAGAAGTGAGGAAAGAAGAAAAAGGGAAAAAGTCGGCGGGGAGGAGGGAGGGGGACAGGGGGACAGGGGGGAAGAAGGGGGAAGGGAAGTGGGGTGGGTGGGAGTGGGGGGGCGCCGGCAAGGTGGGCACAGCAAAGCATGGGAGCACTTTTGTGTTGGGAACAGCAGTAGTGGGAGGGGATGAACGCGATAAAAGGTGGTTCTGTCTAACGATATGCAGGCTCTATCTAATCCAATAATCCAGTTCCTTCTGACCAGAGAGATTTGAAATTTCTTATACTCGATGTAGGCTTACCTGCGTAGCCAATAAGGTCGACTTGTAGTCCCGCCTGCATGTTCCAAAGCAACAACCACAGGGAGCGTACCATAAGTAACACCAATCAATTCATTGCAAATATACTCGCTAAAACATGCTCAGTAACACGTAAACCGAAATTCTCAAACTCTTGGAAGAAATGGCAAAGCGATAGGAGTCCATTCTAGGGATCCATTAAATGCAGCGTGCTAGCCCAGAAAACGGCATTTTCATACCACTGCTTTGAGATTGTCATGAAAATTATACAACCTCAAGACAGCATCACTAATTAATGGTTAGTTGCAGCTGCAATGAAATCCGGCGAATGGGTCCAGCGCGCTCCGCGAGCCCATCGCGATATCGAAACGGAATGCGTTCAAGAACCGAAAGAACATCGCGAATAGCGAGCAGGAGACCACAACCACCTTAAAGCCGATTAGCTCGCAAAAAGCAATGTTGGCGATAACTGTAGTGATAAGTCAGATTTACCTGATTGGCTAGCGACAGCGCGTGGTACTGCATGCGAGGGCTGCGACCAACATCGCCGACCACCACCACCGCCGCGCGACCGCGCCGTCGACTCGTCATTCGGCAATTCCTATGCTTCGGCAATCCCTAATCTTCAGGACCTTGTATGATCCAATCTAAGCGTGAAACTTTGAAATGGAAACCATTAGGCCAACAATTCTTCTACTGGATGCAACAAAACGATTCGGTCGAATCGCGGAATAGGACTAAAGATGCACGCCTGATTATAAGAAGCACGCTACAAGGACTCGAATTCACGAAAATAGACTAGAAAGAATATTGGGAGGAAGGTTGTAACCAGCTGTTCCGTTTCGCACAACATTCCACTAAACAGTTCTAACATCTAAATAAACCGCTTCAAAAGTAAGGAACGTTGAGTTTGACATCGGCTGGGGTGTGGCTTCGCTACAGAGGACAATTCTGCTTACAAAGCAAATTGGTGATTCATTGAAGTACGAGTGGTTTGTATGCACTTAATTAAAAAAAAATACTGTACACGGTTATCTCAAGAAATTGTCCTTCAACAGCATGTGCCGTATCGCTGTTGTACGTGGCAGGCAGGCCTGTCGAAGTTTCTGGGGCTCGTACTTGCGCTCCCCAGCTCCTCCCCATCTGACCCTTGGTTGGGTGTAGGTGTGCGGTTTGGCGCCCTTAACGGTCACGGGCGCACCCCAAAGTGAAAACTTGGAATCAGGGCATGTTTGAAGTTTGCACTTACACTATATTTTACTATGATATGTCCAGTTTCCAACTTTTATTAGAAGTCAGCCATACTTAATACTACACATGTCTTCAATAGTCATAAAACCTACATGGCCTGCAATTATCTACTTTTCACTAACTACAGATTTAGCATGCAGATTTAACTACTCTACTCTACCCAAACATGCAATGCAAGACTATTTGGCAGGCTTCCTCCCCTTCCTCCCCTTCTCCTCAAACAAGGCATGGGCCGCTGCCCAGTCCACCGGGTAGTCTAGCATCTTCACCGTCATCAGCTCCCCCAGCCTAACATCAGTAAGAGCAACACGATCCCACGACTTAATAATGTTTTGGCGGGAGAAGCCCCTCTCACACTCAACAGTGCTGAGGGGCAACACAGAGACTGCGCGCCAGAGGGAGACTATGGTGGGATAGTCGTCCTTCCAGTCTGCCGTGCGCAGCATGTTGGTGAGAGCCTGATGGAAGCTCTGCTTCTTGAATTTCTTCTCCATGGTGGCTGTGAAGAGGCGCATCTGCGGCTCTATGTCAGCAAGAGCCACTCCTGCCAAGGACATACAACAATGTTAGAACACTCCAATGCTGGAGAAGAACATTTCCAACGGTAGAACATATACAAGGTTAGAGACTATACAAGGTTCCTACTCTATCCCTCTCGACTTACCAGGAAGCTTGTTCTTGAACATGTCAAGGAGCTCGGAGAGATGGAGCTTCACCCACGCGTCCTGCTCTCCTGCACGGTCGGGATACTTATCAGGGGAGAAGAAACCAACGCCATCGAAATGACGCAGGTCCGCCATCCTCTTCCCCAGCGCCTTAATCAGGCGCTGAGCGAAACGCCTCGCCAGGTCCACGCAGGCCTCCATGTCGCATCCCCCCCCCCGGTTTTTAGGGTCGATGATGTCTTCTTGAAGCTCGATCTCGGCTTTTGCAGACTTGCCGTTCTCGTCCACTCCCTTGAGCTCCATCTTGCGCTTGTCCTTGCTGCCGTGTGCAGCAAGGAACTTGTTCAGGCGAGAGGTGTTCGGCCCGTTGGATGCGCCGGGCTCGACGTAGTACTGCGACAGCTTGGTCTTCACCTTGTCGACATGATTCTTCACCTTTGTGATGTCGACCTGAAAGCAAACAGATCGAGAAAAATTTAGAGCCACGCACACAAGTCAAGCAGCGACAAGGCAATGCTCATCTGCACCTTACCGTCTGCTTCTGGAAGGACAGATTGAGTCCGTTGAGCAGCTGCAGCACGTCAGCCAGGAGATACAGCATATAGTGGAACTTGAAGCTGGTAGCGAGTTTCTCCGTCTCGCCCTTCTCCTTCGTCCACATCCACATCAGCACCGGCAGCACGTCACAGAAGCGACTCACAGCATCCCCGCGAGACAATTAACGGACGGTGCAGAAGCCTTGCACCTCCAAGTGCGTCTGCAGAATGACGTCTTGGAGATGTATGTAGGTCTTGTGATCGGTCGAGGAACGCCCGAGACGCTCTGCAGTCTGGCGTATCATCTGATCGACTACGTTGAACTCATTGATGCTCTTCGCGGCATCCTTTGCAGCCAATGCCTCGCTGCACAAGCACGAGACATGCGTGAGTATGGTTGGGGAGGGGACAGGTGTACAATACGATCGGAAGCAGTGCAGTGCAACCTTACCGATGCGCCACGCAGTGAATCGCCACCAGCCACGGGCAACGCTTCCGAAGCAGGGCGACAACGCCGTTCTTCGCGCCAGTCATCACGGATGCACCATCTGTTGACACCCCGACAAGCTTGTCCAGCGACATGTCCTTCGACCACAAACACTTCACGATAGTGTCGTGCAGTGCAGCGGCGTCGCAACGTTCGAGCGACAGGAGAGCAAGAAACTGACACACCACGGCCTCGCCTCTCTCAAACGTGACATACACAATGAGATGCTTTCCCCGGGCGCGATCCGTGGATTCATCGAAGGAGAGACTGTACCACGCCGACTCTTTGATATCCAGGAGCTGCTTGGCCACCAGATGCTCCGCCATGGCCTCTACGAACTCGCCGAAGGCGTATCTGCAATGAGCACCGAATGAAAATGTGAGTATGTTATCCACACTAGTACAGTAGATGAAGTAGGAACAAAGCATAAGCATACAAACAGAAGCAAAATTAGGAAATCAGGAGCACAAACAGAGGCTAGCACGCACGTACCGCGAGTAATAACGACCGTACGATTCGTCGGTCATCATGTCGGGGCAGCCTTGTTCCGCCATGAACCGCACCAGCATGGGGTAGAGCGCGATAGGTGCATCGTTCCGCGCAATCCAGTGAGCTCCTTGCATGCATTTGACGACCCTCGCCATGACCGGATCGCTGCTGAGCATATTCAAGAGGCTGCGCTGCCGCACCTCCGTGCCTTCAGCGAGTCGTGCAGCTTCCATGGCCGCGAGGTGCACCTTGGACTGGTCATGGTTGCGGCACGGCGACTTCTGAACATCCCTTGCACCGACTCCAGCACCGCCAAAGGGAGACTTGGTGTTAGGAGCGAACTTACAGCAGACGGAACACTTCATACCATACTGGCGCTCATGTTTGTTGTACTTCAAGCTCAGCCACAAGTACGTCTGCTTCCACGACGTGCTGAAGCGACGTGCAAGACTCCTCTCGGCCTCAGGGATCTGGGTGTCCGGGGGGACTTCTGCATCCTCTGCAATCGCGTTGTCTTGCGCCTCCAGCTCCTCAGCAGTGGGTGGTGGCGGTACGCATCGTGCGCGCTTTCGCGTGTCTGGTGGCGGACTAGCGAAGCTCAGGTGAACCTGACGATAACGGGCTACAGACCTCGGGGTAGACTGTGACGATGAGGCTTGATCGGCGAGGCGTGGGTCCAAGACTGAGATTGCTACATCTAGCATGTCTTCAGCATCACTGGCTACATAGGGCTCGGTCTCGGTTGTAGCATGAGAATAAGAGACGTTCGTCGTGGGCAAAACTGGAGGAGGGGTTTCACCCTCGCTATGGTCCATGGTGGGAGATTGTGTCTGACGAAGGGAACGGGTTAGCTAGCAAATATATAAACCTCGCGTGTGTGAGCGAGGCGACGCGAGCTTTACTCGGCAGAGTGGGTGGGTGGAGGAGAAGTGCCATGGCACGGCACGAACGAAGGTGGAGAGCAGAGATCGTTGGTGGGCGGTACCGTGGAGGTGGTCAGACGGTGCAGAAGAGGAAACATGGCACGAACAAAAGAGGAGAGGAGAGGGAGGTTGGGTGGCTGGTGGTGGTGGATGGAATACATGGTGGTGGAGAAGAATCGTGGCACGCACGAACGAAGTTGGTGAGAGAGCTGCTACGCTGGAGTGCTTCAGTTCCTTTGCCGTGCTTTGGAGTTCTCTGTGTCCAATAAACTTAGCCAGATTCACCCAACCTAATCCTATGTGTCACAGCTGTAAACTGCGGCGAGCTCGTATTGGACGCTAAGGGAATGTTCGGGTGCTCCAAGGCTGACTGAGACACACTACACACACGAGATTGGCTAGAAAACGCTAAGGGAAAAATCCCCTTGGCGCGCTCTAGTGCAGGCTAAGGATAAGGGGGGGGGGGGGGGGGGGGGGGGGGGGGGGGGGGGGGGGGGGGGGGGGGGGGGTGGTCTCGCTCGGGCACCCTGGGGGGGGGGGGGGGGGGGGTCCTACGAACAAAACCGAAACTTAGATAAAGGGGAAGGCCTGGTTTCGTCCCTTAACGCATCCGGGGAAGGGTCGAACGAAGCACTTAGTGGCACGGGCGGGGTACGAATCCAGAACTTGCCGCATTGGAGCTGGAGCGTAACTAGCCCTTAATGTTCAGGGCATTAAGGGCATATGCCCTTGAATCGACAGGCCTGGTGGCAGGGCAGGTAACCTGTCAAAATGAGATCAGTCAGTTGCAGATCTGCTGCACCCTACGACACCGCATCCTGTAACCACTGCTTGGCCCACCATCATTGTACCAGATTTCGATTTCTCAACCTCGACACTGGTGCTTCAGCGTGTTCTCCAAACGTATATTTAATTCGGTTCCGGACGATCCGATACAATCTAGAGCGGTCAAGAGGTAGATCGTACTACAATCTGATGTTTTTTATCCAACTGCCGTCCTTCCTCTTCGCTGACACACACCTCTCTCTCTCTCCAATTCTATGGCGCAAATTGTGTGGCTCGTTTTTTCCCTGGGCTCCCTAGGGCTGTCGCTTGCCCTCGGCCCAGAACTTAGCGGGCTGAGGTGGCCTAATCTCAGCCCTTATTTTTCCGGACTGAGTCGAATTTCAGCACTTAGATTCAGGGCTACGCATCCTTCTGCACTTGATCGTAAACACATCATGTGAGTGGTTGATGTTCAAATACACCTACAGGCTGCGGTACATAGCAGATACATAAGCCCATCTACAACGCGGGGAGGGTGGGGAAGGTGAGGATGTTTTACGTAAGCAGGGAATAAATAACAAAGGGAACGAGTGGGTGGGGGTTTAGGGAAGGGCTCTGAACATATACGTGACATCAGGGTTACGAGCTAAACCAGCCCTTAAGGGAACGGGAAAAAACTCAAAGCCAGCACTTGAATTCTCTGAGCTGGGCTCAAACAAACACTTGAATTCAAGGGCAAAAAGGGGAAATGCCCTTGTAGCGACAGGCCTTCCCTCCACTCGAGTGGATCATCTCTCGCCCCGCTTGCCCTGCCCATATGAGCAGAGCTTTTCACGTTCGTAAGCAGCTTTTCACTGGAAAGCGGCGTCCGTTGCCACAACTACTTGCTGCCGGGGATGGGTCAGGGGGGAAGCTTGTAGCTGCGGCCCACATTCGCTACTAATCATTCCCTTCGTGCTCGCGTTTTTTTCTTCAGCTGCTGTTACTGATGGAAGAGAAAGTATCCAATTGTGCTGAGCTAACCCGAGCCGCATTCGTCAAACATCTAAAGCCGCTCGGTCGCAGCGGATTCCTCCCGGTTGACACGGCGCCACCCGGGCTTTGGTCCACCCGGGCTTGACACGGCGCTTCCCACGTTCCGAGACAATTAATACTGTAACAGCCAATGCTGAGTTCCATTACTAAGCAATGGGTGACACTTTTGAGGCGCCTCGAGAATAGATTATGTCAGACCTTAGGTTGAAGCGGACACAGAAACAGCTACGAGTTTTTTCTAGGCGCCTCAAAAGACGACTTAAAAACAGCTAAGCGGTTCCGCTGCCGGTGTTGGTTTGAGAAATCTCAAAAGTGATTCCAATATAAGCGGACGCACGGACGCATTGCCGCTTCAACTGGCACCGTGTTTTGGGTCGACTCAAAACATTGTTCCAACTGGCACTGCAACATTGTCGACATCATGGAGTACGCTGCAGTCGAGTTTGGCCCAACCGGGTCGCTCTTATACCGAAAATTCCTCCTGGACGCGGTGCGTCTCACCGTCTCGCCGCCGAACTCGTCACCTAATAATGGTACTAGTAACAGCGCTGCGGCCGCACCGCCATTCGCCTTGCCGAAGACTCCCAAAGGTAACTCAAAGACGAAGCTGGGAAGGTTCGTTTCTCCGCTTTCGCCGCGGCCGTCTCCGCCGCCGGCGGCGCCGGCAGCAGCGGCGCAAGACCTCTTCGTCGTCCCCCTTTCTCCATGGCACCAGGTCCCGCTGCGCCTCTCCGCCGCCGCCGCCGCCGCCGATGCCTCTAATGCCGCCGCACCGCCGCCGACGAGAGCGGAAAGAGGTTTCGATAGAAATCAAGATGGCAGAACGTCCAGCTTAGACAAGAGTATCTTAAATTCGACAAGAATTACTCTATTTCCCGCGCTTCGCGCGACAGCGGCGGCAGGCGGCCCCGCAGTCTCTGGTAGCTCCTCCGCCCCCTCCTCCGCTGCTTTTCCTGCGGGCGCCGCGGAACCACTCGCGGATGACGGCGCTGGCGGCGGCGGCGACGGATTCTTCCGCATGGTTTGCGCCGTTCCGCGCGGCACGTGGGCGCAGGTGGAACTGGCGGTGGCGGAGCCTCCGCACCATCCGCTGCGGGTGCGCGGAGTGAACGATCTTCCCTCTCATTATAATCACAACCTTCAGTGGAACGTTGGCTTCCTCCCGCAAACCTGCCGCTGCTCGATATTGACGAACTCGACGGTAGTTTTAGTACCGCCAGCAGTATCAGTGTAGATAGCGACAGCGACGGCTGCGGCGGCGGCGGCGGCGGCGGCGCTAACGGCTTCTTTACGCCGCGCTCGCTCAGCGCGACGGGAGCGGCGGAAAAGCGCGCGTTTGGCGGAAGCGTCACGGGCGGAGGCGCGCACGGCCCCCTGGAGGTGGTGGATATTGGGGGGAGCGCGGGCGGAAGTGGGGCAGGTGTATCTGGTGAAGGCTCTTCTGGCGTTTCTGGTTGTTAGCCCGAACCTTCACACACGCTGGACTGTGATTGTAACGAGCGACTTATATCCGGAAGGTGGGCTTCGAACGTGGAGGTGACAGAAACGAGCGGGTCGCAAACTCCAAGGTGGGGAAGAGGGAGTGCGACGATGGCGACAATGGCGACGATTGCATGGCGACGCGTCTGGAGGAGATTCGCGAGTGGCTCAAGTTTCGAGGATGCTTGTCGCCGCGTGAGTTGGCAAAACTGGCAAATGCTTAACTTGAAACATGTATACAGTGGTAAATAAAAGGGTAATGCTTTTTTTTTTTGTGCAATATATATTCTTCTCCACAAGATAGAGCCTCGTTCCCAGCCCCGCTCCTTTCTCTTCCCCACAGCCAATCTGACTCCCTACTCCCCTTACACCCCCTCTCCATATATTCCCCTACAGACCCTTTCCTTTCCCTCTTTCCCCCTTCCCCTCTTCCCCCTTTCCCCTCTTCTCCCCCTCCCCCATTCCCCCATTTTCCTCCTTTCCCCCAGTGGACCTTCCCTGCTCCATTTCGTTTCGGGAGAAGCCTGTGCCTCTCAGCCGTACGATTGCCATAATCAACGGTGCACACGCAGCCTGGAAAGACACACATGGGTCTGTTTCATGCCACCTCAGTATCACCAGCAACCAGCTCAGCAGAATCTACAAGATGGGATGCTTCTAAGCCAACTGCGGGGATCAGTGGAGCGCACACGTGGCAGCTCCGCGGAGTGCCACGTGGCAGGCATTGTGGTTTGCGTCCCACTTTCCGAACCTCACGGGGCGCAGGAGAGGTTAGGAAGCGGTTGGCACTTTGTTGCCTGGTGCCGCCGCTGCTGCGTTGGCTGCTGCTGGTTTGGGAGAGGAGGGAGGAGGGGGGAGGAGGAGGGGGAGGGGAGGAGGAGGAGGAGGAGGAGGAGGAGGAGGAGGAGGAGGAGGAGGAGGAGGAGGAGGAGGAGGAGGAGAGGGAGGAGAGGAGGGGGGGGAGAGTCAAAGAGCTTACCAGCTCGTGTTTCTCACACTCGATCCTCGTCCTCCCCTGTATGGCTGCACGAGAAAGATTTTGACGGGTCAGTGTCGCCACAAAGCGATACTGAATCTGCTTATAACGGGTCGGATCGTTCTGAAAGGTATGGCTCGCCGCAGCTGAGTAAGTCGAGGTGTTAAAAAGAGCGGTTTGGGGCGGG